TACATCTTATTGAAAATAGAAGTCCTCCAGAAAAATCCTCTCCCTCACTAATGCCTTCAGGAGGCCCCGCATAACTAGGGAAGCACAGAACAAGAGCCTAGCTAGTCTGGTCTGTAGATAACCGAAAGGGTTACTGAGTGCATTGCCTCTCCAATCTAAACAGAATTGATCTAATAAGAGATATTTCTCTCCTTAAGTATGTTGCCTTAGCACTCTGAAGCAGAACTCACAGCAGCTCACAAAGACATCTGTGCACTAGTCAAGTAAAGCAAGCTATTCTGTACTAGCAAAAACAATCAGACCTGAAATGAACAGTCACGTGGATTAGGCACTAGAAGAAACAGAGTTTTCCATTGCAAATACTTTCAAGACTTAGGTGATTCTGAAGTAAAAATTGCAATGCATCCTCAACAGAATAGTTCTTCCCCTGCCAATCAGCTTTGATTTTGGCACCTACCAAAAAAGATGCAGTTACAAAATTTGATCTTGAAAAACGCTCACCTCTTCCTACAAGTACCACTTAACACAAGACTGGTCTTAATAATACTGGGAATTTCATCAGAAAGTGCAAAGGCAAGACAGATAGCAGAGGAAGAAAGTCTTCAAATCTGTTCTGTAAGATTAGCAGAACTTTACTTAAGGAGAGGAAAGGAAAAAAAGGAAGTGACAACCATTTCTAATGAGTCACCAGTCATCCATAAGGCACAACCAATCTCCTTACACGAAAAGGAGATTAAGAAAAAGGAAAGTATTGAAAAGAAGTCTAGTGTGTTCTGATTTTGCAGAATTAGAGAGATTTCAAATGTCACTAACTACCGGTTGCTTCTTAGTCTTAACAACTTTTGAACCACAGCGTGTAAACGGACCACAGTTTTGCGGTGTTCTTTTATTCTGTGTGCAAAAAAAGCGTCCCTCCTAGAACAGTGAGAACACTAACCATCTTCTATCACCTATGATATCAAGCTTAAAACAAACAGTAAAGAGTAGGCTGTTTAGGGGGAGGAGTAGTAAATCAAAAGTTTCTCTAACTTGAAACGCCCAAACTACAAGAGATCATTTTACAGCAAACTATGTTAAGCAGTTCTCTTTTGCTGACCCAGGTAATTATACAGAACAAACAGAAGGTTTATGCAGTGGCCAAACAGAGAACACCTCTTTAAATAAACCCCTTCCTCTCCATGTGGTAATAAGTCACATGGATATTTACATAACCTTCTTGATTTAAAAAGATAGCTTTTTCAACCCTATTCCTTCTATGAAGTTTTGGTTGTAAAAGAACAGAGTAGCAATTAAGAAAAGTGAAATTAATAAAACATGTAATCTATTTTTAGAGCAAGACTGATTGTTTACAAGCAATAGATGACTGGTAACTCACTAGAAATAGTTGTCCTGATCTCTGCTTCCTTTAACCCCCTTAAATAAAGTTTTACTTATCTTATAGATGGCTTAACGCAAGTCTGAAAAGATGGTTCTTAAGGCCAGTACTTGTAGGAAGTGAGTACTTCTCAAAATCACATTTTTGCTACTGCAACTTTTTCAGTAGGTGTCAAAATCAAAGCTGAAATGTAGAAAGAGTTCTTTTGAAAGAAAGCATTTAGCATTCAGGCATCATTTAAAGCAATTTTTCAGCTGAAGATGATTTTTTAACCTTTGATCAGCTTTTACTCCATCATCATCCAAATTACTTAAGGATACTAATTTTTTATTTGATTTTTAAATTATTTCTTTAGGATAGAAATCTGAAAAGCATGCAATCTTTATCAGTATATACATATGTACTTTAGAATAGCTATATACATAATATTTATGTGGCTTGATCATTTTTTGGAATTCAATGTAATACACACTGAGGCACGCCACAGCATTTAGTAGTTTTGTATTTTATATTAAAAATGGGGTGAAAAACACTGTTTTCTGGACTAAAATCCTTTCACCAAGGACTTTGATCAGCTTTGTCAATGTCCTTAAACCAGCCTCCAAAAAGCTGCTTAACTACAAACTTACTTTGACTTTTAGACTGCAGAACAGAATGGCCAAAGTGCCTAAAAGGTCTACATATCAACTATTGCTGTTCAAAAAAATTGTAATGATCATATTCACCACTTTTAAAATATTGGATAAAATAAAGCAGAAGTAGAGAACACAAAATGCAATTTTTACTATGAAGAGATACTGCAATCATGAGTAACAAACGGAAGAGTAACAAATGAGAATGGTTTTAGTCTAAATAAGTGTGTGTATATATATATATAGAGAGAGAGTAGAGAGAGAGAGAGAGAGAGAGAGAGCGAGCGAGCGAGCGCATTAAATTCATCTTTCTTAAGAACCAAAGATTGAACTTATATTAGTTAACTTCAGCATAAAATCAAATGCATTCAGAGACAATAGCTTAATTAGTGAAGTTGTGCAATTCTAGATGGCTGTGCAATTGCAGCACTCCTTTAACAAGAAGTTACGCTGTTAAAGCAGAGTCTGTAGCTACTCACAAGCTTCTCATGAGTCGTGAGATCTGGGACATGGCAAGTCATATTGGTTTTGACATTCACCAGGGAATGAAATTTTAAACCAGCTAAAGATGTTATGTGATTTGAGAATGTTTCTATACCTGAAGCAAATGAAAGGCAGCTTTGATTTCCTTCTTCAAACAGAAAAGGACTGAATCATTCACAAATATTTCTGGTAATGCTTCCGTTCTAAAGATACAGGGATGCAGCATAAACTGTGTCAAAGCGAATTAAGGAACAGCTAACAGTAAGTAGCCTCTAACAGTAAGCTAATGTTGTTCACTGAATAGTCCATTTCCCAGCCATTATCTGTTGCATCTGTTGACTAAACACTAAGTCAGTATTTGAAAATCATTTTAAAAGTTCATGTATTTCTTATTTTGCACTCAGCCTTTGCAAGAGCTTGCATAGTTGCTCCTTCAATACTTTAATAATGACTTCATTCAATGTGCTGGAATAGTCTCAAACAAGCTTGCAACCCAAGAGTTTTCATCTTCTCTGCAAGCCATGTTTGAATTTTTGCCCCTTCATATTGACTCCTTACATTTGCAATATTGGCAGTTGGCAAAATAACAGTAAAGAGAATGACATTGCTCTGGGTCTCAGAAAGTTATAATTTCAGAAGGCGACATCATTCAGCTTCCTCAGTAAGACACAGCAAATACCAATTTCAACCCGGTCCAATTAAAGACTTTCTACACAAGGAAGTCACTGCAAAATGATGAACCACAAGACACCCTAACTTTTTGTGAACATCCTTGTATGGAGTAGTTTAATCAGCTTCTGCAAAGGAGTAGAGAATCCACTCAGTACCAGCAAAATAGTATTAGTGTAGTGAAACTGCTATTTCGGGCTATATTCCTGGATAAACAAGTTTTCAGTCACACCTTACAAGATGATAATAAACATTTTCTTCTCTGTCTCATGGCAGACTCAGGTAAGTGGAATACATGGCGGAATACAATTAAATACGTGACGAATATGACCCTTAAGGAAGACACGATCACTGATATCTTCAGTCTCCTCCTCCTGCTGCCCTGCCACCCTGTTAGCAGGCAAAATTTGTCTGTTACAGATTATATCAGAAATCCACCCGCAGCACACAAAGAATGAGCAGTGTAACCTACAACAGTCATCACTCAAGTGATATTGGTACTTCTTTATGAGGCTGTTCTGCTAGTCTCCAAAACAAGCTGCCGTCTCTCCAGCCCTGATTCACCACATTCCGAACCCGAGAGGATTAGTCTATCCAGTGCGGTGCTAACTGATGGGATACAAATTTGCAGATTCATTTCCCTGCCCTTCTTTGCTGCTACATGCCAAGATTAGCAGAAGGAGCTAATAATTGGCTGTTAAGAGATAAGCAGAACTAAAACAGAATGATGTAAAAACAAACAAACTATTGCAACTCCACAGCCAGAGATTTACTTTTATTTCTCAATATGACCTTTCAAAAGTACCATACATTTCAAAAGCTTCAAGAGAAGTTCTGTAATATTATAAAATGTAAGTCAAATACGCAAACACATCCAGTGCTACTATCCTGGATCAGAAGACAGTTCAACTGATTTCATGCCAAGGAGCAAAGAATGAAATCAGTAGTCAGAGGTCATTTCTATTACAGCCATCCCAACCCATGACACAGAAATTACACCCATTTTACCATTTAACTTGCAAAGTATTAAAGCAGCAATGAAAGCAAACACTGAGGTTTAAGGAGTGATTAAAGAAAAAAAGCCAGATACTGGAGAAACATATTCTGTCCTTTCTCTATATTCAGAAGAGACGCTCCTAGGGTAGCCTAGGAGGCTTCTTTCCACTCTGATCCTCTCAGCTAGTAGGTAGAAAGGATATCAAATATGTCCGTTCCAGGAACAAGGGAGGAGTAGAGCTGCATTTGTACTGCACACTTACTAACCACTGGATGATAAGGAAAAGTCCCTGAATAGGCACAGTACCCTGGCAAGAATCCCAGATTCACAAGGGTAAGGATAAAGGAAAGCAGAGGGAGGCATTTCAGTGCAATGCCACGTGAGTAGAGCCTTTCCATACCCTCTGCTTCGTACTGTTTGCCAGTCTAGCCTCTTGGCTGGCATACAAGCAGGTATTCAGTATATGGTTCAAGCCTGCATTCTATTACATGCCTATAAAGCTGCTGTGTTATTAGAAGTCTAGAAGTGCAAGCTTTCGTTAAGGATGGTAAGAAAAACCTTTTGAGTTTTGCAAAAATTAAGCAAAATTACTTGTAATTATTAGATGAATTAGGAAAGATTTATGGTGATAAGGCAGTATATTCAGAGTAAAGTATACTCTCTTTTTTTTTTTTTAAATTAAGAAATAGGAAGTGCCTGTTGAATTTGAAGAGGTGGAGCAACATTTTAAGCTACGTAGTCTAAAAATCCACCCCTGCTGTTTTCCTGGGGTGTTAAAATTCTTCCCATTCAAAAGCACAGAGCTAAACCACCACATTATAAAGAATTATAATCAACATTTTACCTGTATAGGTGGCTCAATCATAATCCACGCAGGAAGCATCAAACTTGGGTTAAGAGGTTGAGTTCCTACACGGAAATATACGCCACCACTGGTGTCACAGGCCCAAACATGCTGATTTCCACATGCCAAGCTGTTCAGCTTTACAGCACCTAACGACAAAGAGACTATTAGCAATTTCACGTTTTTCTTCTAACTCAGCAAATAATGACCACTTTTATTTAGACTTGATTATATTAATAATTTTTATGCGACTGTGTTTAAAATTAATAGTTAATATGACTCGTGAGAGAAAAAACCCACCGGCTACACAAATAAAACCAATACCTTGTGTATGTGAGGTATTTTTCTCTCTAATCTAAAAATAAATGTTTTAGTCATAAGATCCTGCCATTTATAAAGCACTCTAAAAATTATGCTATTAAAATAACTGAATTCAAGCAAAGGAAAAATTCTGTGATAAATGTTATCAGTGCCTAGACAAAATTTCACATGACCTAATGTGAACTTTTCTCTATAGTTGGTCATGTTTATACAGTTTTAATGATGTCAATCTATACACACCTTCAGCAACAAACATTCCTAATGCTACCAGCATTTTAAAAATACCAGAGCATATGGATTAACATTTCAATGTTAACATACCATCATTACATCTGTAAATAAAAGCTGATTTTCAAGTGGATTTATATTCATTGTATATATTTATTACACCTGCCTCAAAATTGCAGCAGTATTTTAACCCTTAGTAAGTTAGCACAGTGAAAACAAAGCTCCCAAGTGAGTACGTTTTAGAATTTGTTTTATTCTTTTTTTCATACCCAATCACAGCCACCAATTTTGCTATTAAAAGGTGTAAGTTTGCAAAGGTGGAAAAAACACATACCTGATATTTTAGACTAACATGAACTGCTAGTTAACTGCTAACTTGAACTCTTATTCTTTCACATTCATTTAAAAATAGCCATGTGATGTAAAGCATTTAACATTTGATTTTTCCTTTCCCAGTGCTGGGACAAAACAATGCCAAGCAATGGAAAACATGTTATACAAAGAGAGAGCCCCAACAAGTACAGATATACTACAGAAGGAATGCTCTGGTCAGACGCCAAGCTAAGGACTCTAAAAATAGGCTTAGCTAGTTACTGAACATGCCAGTGCTGCTTGGGATATCCCATTCTTGGTAAGTTTTCCCTTCGGCGATGTGAAATCTGGCAACAAATCTTTGTAAAGTGCATCATACAGCGTATTCCTTAAAGAGGGGATGCAATTTAATTCCACAGAGTGCAAGTTCAAAGCTGTTATTTCTGCAGAAGGCAATATTCCCTGTCATTAAGACCTGTTTGGGGACAGAACAGGGGATAGCCAGGGCTACTCAACTTTGTCTTTTTAGTTAATTGCAATAGTAAAGAGATCTCCTCGTTAACCAAAGTTATTTAACTTTCTGATTCGGAGGAATTTGAATCAACTTACCTCACCTCAAAATTCCTTTTAATTTAGCAGCTCCTTAAACAACAACACTATAAACAGAAAGCTTCCACTGTTTGAGGTAAGAACATTTAGAACGTAACTTTCTATTGCAGGCAGAGGTTTTGATATTCAGCTACAAAGTCAAAGTTTTATTTAAAACCTCATTATTCCTTATAACAAAGTATGACCAGTAGTAATGGCCTTGTCACACGCTGTCTCAGCTGTTGAAACCTTCTGCTCCAAATAAGCATCAGAGCACTCAAACATGGAATCACATATCACCTACTCAGCACAGCGGATATTATTTACGTCTACAGTACAATTTGATATTCAAAAATGCAGCCCTTATGTAAATGTTTTGGGCTCCCACTTAATGTTTTTACCTCAGGAGAAGGTCATGCATTCATCCACTGACTAGAAAAAGTAGTGTGATTCCGAGACATTGTTTAGTGTTGAAACCTAAAGGGTCATTCTACTGTGTTTAGAGACCTTAATACAGATAGTGGAACCCTAATCAAAATAATTTACTAGCTACTACTGCCAGTACATAGCGTAAAGGCAAGAGGAAGATATCACCAACATAAGGCGAGCACTTCTACGTTAACGCTGGCAACTCATTCACTTCCATAATAGAATCCTGAATTTCTTTTTACAGCAACTTGATCACTTTTTCCCCCCGACAACCAACAATCCTGATGTTTCAGAAGTAAAGTTAAATGTACACCCGAACAGTCATAACAGTTCTCTAATTTCTTCAGCTATGCTATAGCAAAGGGCCTAATATTACAACTGTGCATATGCACTGCCTTCTCAGTAGTGATCTACCAAACGCCTTTAACTGAAGGAAAACAGTCTAAAAACGTTCACGCTACTATCAAACCACAGTGACAGGTGAAATGTGGCGTCTGAAGTACTTCCTGATCTCAGATGTCTGCAGTACCACCAGAGGGAGCAACTAAGCTAACAGAAACAGCTGAATGCAAGGCTTGAACCCCTGAACTCCCAAAGTTTACAAGCCAGGGTATTAAAATCAACTAGCACCAGCTACACTGATTTCCTTTACGAATATTATTTATTTTTACCTGAAAATCTCAAATAGCAAGAAATTCTGTATTAATTCAGTTTCATGAACTTTATTAATTCAGTTTCATCTGTAGGAAATCAATGGTACCTTGAGAATAGTTTCAAGTCCTACTAAATCATTTGGGAAGGAAACTATGGACAAGCCTATCCTATAGGTCAGTGAAGGTCAGACGCCAAGGATGGCTTAAACTACAGCAGATTATTGATTCTGAATCATCAGGTCTGGAAAACCTGGTGTATTTTCATTCTCCCAGTGCATAGTCTAAACAAATTATTTTTAAAGACACTTTGAGGTTTCAAATATAGGACTGCAAATTGTATAATACTCATATTGTATGTGAGATTTAAATTTTGCCCGTTGTCTGCCTTTGCTTAATCCTAAAGATAAAATTGCTTGTCTGTTCTGAGACCAATCATGAACACCACCATTAAAAATTGGAAAACTGCAACAGCTGAATTCTTTTTTTTTTTTTTTTTAAGTAGTGCAAGAAAGCAGCATATTTTCTATTTCAATCACCTCCTCTTAAAACACGAATGCAGCTTATCGTGAATACAAAGACTATCTAAGAAATACACCTAACTGGAATATTACTGGTTAAACTGGCAAACAGCCTGATTACCCATATCTTTGATGAAGACAGCCAAACTATGAGGATATTTTAATGATCAAAATATGGTCAATAACCTTAGTCTCATGCCTAACCAAATAAAAAGACGAGTAAACCAGCAGCACTTTTAACGTTATGCTGAATCGTTAGATCCATATCAACCTGCATGTAAGAGTGTCATCAGCTGTATCAACTATGGATGATGCAATTCTTCAAACATAATTTTTTCTTGACAGGCTAACACACAGAATTGTTTATTAAACGGCCCAGGACCACACAATGATGGTTACACAGCTCGTAGAATAAGAGTTCATCTGGCTAAAGCTACTGGTACTTCTGTACAGCACTGTCTCAGGTCGAACTGTCGCAGACTGACAAACTAAGTACCTCTGCATATAAAATAAGCACATAAATAGTGAACGTGCCATCTCCAGTAAATGGCTTAATGAAACAGTGAAAGCAATAGTTGTTCCTGATAGTTTAACAGTTCTCTACAGCGATGCCCATTATTGCAAGGTACTATTTAATCCAGTAAATTTAATATTCCAGATCAGTAAACCAAAGATGCTGCTGAATGAAAATACTGATCATCTGTTAAAGAGAGTTAAGAAACACTCAGCTCCATAAAAATGTCATACCTAGTTGAGAGAGATCCAGTTTTGTCCAGTGCATCCCCGTTGGGCAGCTGGGTGAAAGTGTTCTGATAAATATCTGCCCAAGACTATCCAAGCCCCAAATGGCATCCTGGCAGGCAGAATAGTGTACCATTTCAGCCTCTGGTGGCAGCTGCACCGTAGAAGGACGAAACTGAGGGTTCTGATCACTGACACAAAACAGATCCTTGCTGCTTTGGCACAGCCACAGAAAGCTTCCTATGGAAAGGACATTTCTGTCATTAAAATCATTCTTAATCTACTCTGAGACAGCTTACATATCTGCTTCCTCTGAAAAAGTGATCAGCACATTTGAAGACAAAACTAAATCCTCTTCTTAGGTTAAGGTTTTCAACACATCCAAGTCCAAGTCCATCCTAAGCCCTTATGTAGGCACCTAAGTATTCCCTCTTCAAATGGGGGAAGCGGTAAGTGATTTTTTTGGAACAAACTAAGATACAGGGAAAAGACGTATACGATAGCCTACTGCTTATCCCTTCCTCTTCCAGTCATCATCTTTGTCCTTTCTTCTTGAAATTACCTTTGAAAGACTACATTCCTCTTCAGCTCTTAATCACACCTTTTTTCCAATAAAGCTAGCGTACTTAGTTATAATAGTCAGAAATTGCACTAAACAACGTAACAACAGAATTCCCTAACACGGTCACAATTTTACCAATAAAATGTGCCTTTTTGCTCCAGTAATTGCACTGACAAAAGTGCATGGTTGGTAAAGGCATTGCAGCAAAGTGTGCTCCAAAATTTCATATTACAAGTTCTGGCAATTCACACTGGGGCAATTTAAGAAATTACCTCTCCTAAAGCACTGGCTGCTTCTCTGTTGGAGGTCACTCCACACCAAAGGTGGCAGAGCAAATGATATGCCTGCTGTCCAGTTATACCAGCTCACAATCCAGCTTATGAACTAAATCCACCACTACTTTCAAGTTACACTAACATGCTGAACTACAGACAGCAGCAGGTAAAGCTTCAGAACGATCATCCCCTTCAGTTTACCAGCAGCAAACAAAAAGTTTACCAGACACTGCTCAGTTCTCCCACTACCACTACTAACTTTTCTAGGGGACAGGGAGAAAAAAAAAAAAAAAAAAAAAAGTAACTCACAACAGCATTGTGCTATGTCTACGCTGAGATTAAAGGTGATGTAAATCCACGTGTTGGAAAGTAACTCACTGTTAGAACCACAAAAGTTTACCTTTTTTTGAAACCACACTAAAATGCAAATAACAGGCTACTTCTGTTCACAAGTGGCTGAGCTTGGAGCAAATCCCAGTAAACCATTACAGAAGTTTTTTCCATTTGAGAATGTACAAATAAGATGTTAACATTCGTTCTTCATTTTCTTTGAAATAATAAATATAACAGAGAGACAGACAGAAAGAAGATGGGTACAGGAGGAAAAAAAAAAAAAAAAAAAAAAAAAAAAAAAAAAAAAAAAAAAAAAAAAAAACAGACTCAGCAGCTAGGAAGTGCAACTTCCATTCCCAGGGCCATTACAGTAGCAGTGCACAATTTTTACCATATTTTGTTTCTTTTCCCACTTCTGTAATATAACTTTAATACTCCCCTGACGAAAGGCTACAGTAAGGTTCAGTTTATTATCTAATCAGAGGCCAAAGTGAAAGATATTCAAGTGTCCCTGCTCAAGTCACCTGACTTTATTTCACATCAAACTGCAACAATCCTGTGATAATGGAAACAATTTAAAGGACTAAGAGAAGTTTTCTTTTGAGAACTTTAGTGATTCTGCAAAACCACAGCCGTCTACCCTTTCTTTTAGGAAATGGCTTTTTCGGCTTTTAGCAGCTCATTTGCAACAGCAGGAGGAACAAATTGGAAAATCCATATAGAATTTGCCACTGGTGGACAACACTATTACAAAATCAGAGATGTTAAACAGCAAATAAATGGTGAACAGGTAACTAGATACCTATGACTAGAGCTCTCCTCATTTAATCAACTCCTGGTGACTGCAGAATCATTCTGTGTTTTATGGAAAGTGCATAGCCCCTCACACTAGCACAATTAGGTGGATTCTGTAGGATTTTACAGGACCTCTTGAACATTCAAGTTCTACTCCTTCTCTCAATCTTTGCTGGAGGACTTAGTCTTTTTCATCCCTCGGTATATACACTTTCTATATAAGCTTCGATGTTAACTACTTGGCACCTCTCCGCTTGGGGGATATATTACCCCTAAATACGCCTTTGAAAACACTACTCAGTAACGCCAGTCAAAAAAGCAGAACACCGTTCTCCTATAGCCATTTGTGTGTTTGTTTGTTTGTTTATTTTTTTTTAAAACCTTCAGTGGTTTTATAGACATGTTTTGACCTTACTTCAAATATTTAATCCCCATTTACAAAAAAGGCACCAAAAACCTGACAGCATAACACCATTTAATTACTTGCACCATCAGTTCCCCTCTCAAGTAAGACACTACATGCTTGCGCTGATTCACTAACCTTCTTTAGATGAAGCTGTGGAAGCCAACACAAAAACCCATTTTGTGGCAGAAGCAGTACCACGAGGCACAATATTATTCCAGTAAGTACCTGGAAAGAAAAAACAGAGTAACATCAGCATGAAACCTAATTTTCTATTAGAATGCTTTATTATTAAGAATATTACACCATTTTTAAGGAATAATCAATTATTAAATGTCATCTGGCTAGGATTTCCTATGCAAATCTTTCAGTAGCTGTTTTGGGGAGCAAAATCCCCTACAACTCATACACAATGAACTTCTCTTTCAAAATATTTCTCTCTAAAAGGGAAAGTATTCAGACCAAATGCTAAAACAACATTAAATTTAATTTTTAAACATGGAATTGTTTGCTTGAAGCTGCTGTGACTACAACTCACCATGGATAAGCTCTGTGGTGACCGAGTTGTAGCCATGTATTTTTCTTACTTTAAAAAAAAATTAGATGTAAAAGCACACCAACCTATTAAGTTTCCCTTTGCCACATGGAATTCATTTTTGCCTGAAGAGATCCAGACTCCGCTGCTGTTAACTCCAAGGAGACTGGGTTGACATTGAAGTTGCTGTGACCAAAACGCCATTCGAAGTTTGTCAGCCACCTTCTCTACAGGTACCTGAGCTGCTGTTGCCACTGTATGAGTTGCCTGGATTATTGTCTGGAACAGGCTGCACTGGTCAAACACTACATAATCGGTGATGCTTACCTAGGGGGGGGCGGAAAAAAAAGTTCTGAATAATTAGGCTTTTGGGTGAACTGCGGAAACCTTCCACGAAAACTTCCCCTGCCCACTTAATATACAGGAAATCTACCAAGCTTTTAGATGCTTCCAAACCTAAGTGTAGGAAAGGAAAAATAAAAACTGTACATTTTGATTAAGTAAGAGCCCTGAAAATAAACCAGAACCAAATAATATTAAACTTCCTTTTATGACCCTCCTCCCTGAACAACTCACTTTGAATTCTACATTTTAAGAAAGTCTTTTGTTTTGGGATGACTCAACATATCTCCCTCTAAAACCCTGTTGAGCCTTCCGAACAAAGAGGTGAATTTTCAGTTTTCTAAAAGGAAGAGAAACTTCATCATGCAGCAATTCAAATGACACAGCAAAAATCTGTACATAATGCAGACCGATAGTCTTTCACAATAATTTCATATGCACTTTAATTCATAAGACAAGAGGAGGTCTATATAAACAATTGCCCAAGTTTTATAAGTGATAACTAGGTTGACCATGCTCTGGGATACCCTCAGAAAGGAAGGTAATGCTTAATGCATAAAGAGAAGGGCGTTTCGCCTATAACCTCAAAGCCAAGCTTCTTATTACACCTATCTGGAGGAAGAAATTGTATCTGCACGTAAGTTGAAACTCTTAACTTCGGCAGAAGTGTAGACAAACAAATTTTCCAGAGAATCGTTTTTCTACCCCTTTTCTCCCCACACCTATCACTGGGGAAAATAAGAAAAGTTGGAGACAAGAGTCAGGGATTCTAAATCAACGCCAGAGACTACCTGCAGTAAAACTGAGCTGTTTTTAGCCACGAGATCTGTAACTGAAGCAAGCAGCCCCACGTGGCTTGATGAAACTTCAACTCAATGGGGAAAAACAAAGTAATAAAAGCATTTCTGCAGAGTCGTTTATTATCTTTCCCATTCACTTCAGAAAAAGACGAGTACTGGAAGATGTGAAGAGAAGACACATACAACAGCCAAGTTTGTATGCTCTGCCTAAACAGTACCTCCTATTGCTGCTGTTAAGATACCAAGCTAAACGTAGCATTGATATGACCCAGTAGATCATCTCTTCTGCTCCTGAAAACTGCTCTGATGCTACTCTGGATGTTTTCCCCGTCTTTATAGCAGACATGAAAAGGGATGTCAGCCATAGCCACTCTGTGTTTTTAACACACTGAAGAAAAAAATACTGTAACATATCAAACAATTCTTCAAATTTTATGCTTAGAATCTTGGGGGAAAACAGTCCAAATAATAAACCTCGGGTAAAAGATTTTAAATTGAAAGTAAAACAAAGAAATGCCTACTTGCCACCAATGATTATCATCTCCTTGCGGTTTCTTTGAAACTATACCAGTTCTGAACCACAGATTTCCATGGATATCCAAAGCCCATAACGTCTGCTGATCTCCAAGGGTTATGCACACGGGTTCCAAAGCCTGCATTTCACTGGAAATGAAAATAAGTAAAAAATTAAAAACATTACTTCATATTTATGTCTATCGCATTTTAAGTAAGTTGTTACAATGCCAACAGCAGCTGAAAGTGTCTTTTAATCTCAGTGTGAATAAGCTCAAAGAAAAATTTGATTTCAAGTTGTCATAGTTATGAAAATGAATGAAGTTTTGATTATTTGATAAGCTCCATTAATTTTTTTTTTTAATGCATAACAAAAATGAAGGCTTTCAAAGATCACTTGAGATTTGAAACCTGGAAATATAACAAAGAACCACGGAAAGACTGATCTGTTCAGTAAAAAAGAAACAAACAGCCACGTTCTGCAAGTTTCCGATAAGGCAGCTTCACAAATATATCTCCTCGAACTTTCTTGCCCTATTCTGAGAATAGTACTAGCAGTTCAGGCACCATAAAGAGCAAAACTGGACCCAGCCATGCGGCAAAGATAAAAGCTGATCTTGATTTTAAGTTTCCTGTATAAATAAACCATTTTTAAGCTCAGAAAGTCAACAGGATCAGATCATCATACCAGACAGTTCTAAACAAAAAGGTAGTCAACAGCATTGTTTCTTTTAGAGAACCTTCCTCATCAATCCAAAAAAAAAAAAAAACACACAAATATGAACCGCTTTCTGCAATTTTAATACAAAGCCCAAGAACATTAAGTGTACCTAAGGTATAGGTCAGGCAAATATTTTTGTTAAACAAATTGATTAAACTACATGCAAATTTCAGATTTAAGCAAGATACCGAACACTTCCTTAGGCTTTGAGAACCTAATTTAACATGGGGAGGTAACACACAGGGTTAAAGACTTTCACATTAGGATGTTCAGTAGCAAATAAAATCATACAACTGCAAGGAGTGGAATTTCTGCCTATATTCACTTCAGGCTGACATCATAGATGAAATACACTAGATACTCAAAACCAGCAGTAAACATTTGGTGCTTTATCACAAATTAACTACTGCGAGCATAGGAGCAGCCACAAAGCTAAACACCAATTACCCAGAATATTTTTAAAAATCTGTGAGTGGTATATATGAAAGTATTATCCAGCTGTGTACAGATGACCATAAAAAGAAAAAAAAAAAGAGAGAGACTTAATCTCAAAAAATAGATATACTTGGAAATCTGGAGAGCCTACTGAAGACGCCATTATGACACAGATTAAAGAAATACTATTTAATAAAAATAAAACAAAAAAAGTATATTGACACGTTACAAAGGTCTTCTCAGCACTGTTCCCACTTTCCCAAACTTCCTTCAATTGCGTTACCACTTCTGTTTAGGGTAACTTTTTTCATTATGTATCAGTTATTTGTCACACAGAAATACAGCATTACTCTGGAAATATCTGAGTAAAGACTACACAATATATACAAATGCTCTGTAAGTACTTTAGGTAACATATTTTCAAACACCAAGGAGTTCCAGCACTGAAAACAATTGTTTTTGTCATTCTAGTTTTGAAGTTGTCCTGCTACAGTGTCATTACCTGACAATATCACTCTTCCATTGTTCTCCTTCGGGACAAAAGCTGCGTACTCCCTCCCGGTAGAGCAGGGCCCGTTGCTCGCTCAACGCCCAGACAACGTTATTTCTGGATGTAACCTGCGACAGTGGATAAGGGCAGTCAACCTTTACTGCTCTGGCACAAGGACGATCCACACTCAGGCCTAGAAATAAAAGAAGGAGGACTGCTTTACAAACTTTGGCTTTTTGCAACTAAACTAGAAGAAAAGAGACAAAGCTACCAAACAAAAGAAAATTACCCGAGGGTTTGGGGGAGGGGAGATGCATCCCCGACAGGTTAACACTTTCCATTTGACCACTATTCCCTTGATTGACCGTTCCCCTCCACAGATGTCCCTCATTTCCTTCAATAAACTTGAATTCATATTTTGATTAACAATTCCATTTTTGAGAAATACAGAATTGTATATCCTTCAACATCTGGCAGAGCCCTCAAGTCTTACCCTGTCGTTTCTGTTCTTTTCCTCCCTCTAGCGTTAGAATTGGGAATCTCCATTTACAGAAGGGATAAGGAAAAAAGTATAGAATGCAAGAATTTTTGCCCAAGACATGCCAGGAAGAGCAACAACCTGATCTAAATAGAGCCAGGCAATTATAAAAGAACATGCCACAGCGAGTAGTACTGAAGGAAGGAGAGAAGTTCTGATTATGTTTGCAGGCAGTTAACGCATGTTTGTACATGTAATCTGCAGGAACACATATCTTCACAACTACAATGAAGCTTGATTTACATGGCTGCATGCAAACAGCTCAAGAGACACAGCTTTTTCTTAATCTTCTCACTCTTCCAAAGCAAGCATGAACAGACTCATCTGTATGATGTTCTAAAAAGATAACAAGAAGAAAAAAAGCTCAGTTCCACTCTCTCACACGCACCCTTGTTACAGAAGTTAGACAGGGTGGTGGAGGGAATTAAAAGATCCTGAAGAAACAACTATCACTGTGGCTGCATCACGTTAACAAGATAGCTATACTGAGAATTTATTTTTCCCATCACAGACAAATTTAGAAGCCCACGAATAGCAGAATGTAAGCTGATGTAATCAAACCAGTCTCTAACAGGGAAGAAAACTATTGATTCACACCTCCACAGAGCCCTGTGTGATTGGCATCAAGTTCACTTTCTATCACCACTATCCATACTTGGTAACACGCACGTGACCTCAGGCAGGCCAGTTTTCTGTAACTCCTCAACTTAAACACACTCTTCTTTCAAATTATCTTCTTTTAATTGAAACAATGCTGTGTATTTAAACAGTTTTCTTGTGCAACAGTAAAGAATTTGTACTCAAACTTATGCAAAATTGTAATACAATGTAACAATTAAATCTACAAGAGAAATTAGGAGAATATCAAAGTTAAACAGAAGGTAAATCAGAATATTGACAGCCACTCTGAAATCTTGCCCCACTTTAGTGTCTTATTTTTTCCTGCCTCCACCTCGTCTTCCTCTTACTTCTCCGCTAATTCTTTCAGTATACTATTTGAAATGTTTCTGTACCATTTCAACTCTGTGCAAAGTTCCCCTGCCTCTCTTATCAATACTCCTCTCCCCCAAATGCATAACTTCGAGTTTCACCCTTGAATTGGACTTCTCTCTTGCTCCTTGCATCTAGCCTGAACATTTTCTGCATCTAGCCTGAACATTTTCTGCATCTAGCCTGAACATTTTCTGCATCTAGCCTGAACATTTTCTGCATCTAGCCTGAACATTTTCTGCATCTAGCCTGAACATTTTCTGCATAACACCTCCCAGACGCCGTCCTCTTCTATTAGCTGAAGCAGTTGAAGCTAAGGCCATCACCTAAAAGTTGCCACTGCTCTATTGCTTTCTCCGATCCTTGCCTCATTCGCATCCAGTGACAATGCTGCTGTAAAGACTGCCACTCTCTAAGCCTGCCCCATTCCTCCACTGGTTTTGCTTTCTCCATCACATCAAATACATACCACCGGTCTACACCTCCAAAGCTCTTCAAGGTCTTCTGTCTCATGCTACTTTACTTTCATTATCAAGAGAGAACTCTTACCTCTAAAAGACTTACTCAATAAAACTTTTCAAAGCAAAGAGCTTCTGCTTTCTCCTGTGCTGCCCCTCTTACTTGAAACTCTGAACAGCCACACATATTTCAAATTCCTTCTTACAACTTTATTAAAATCCTTAAAGCAAGGAAACAAAACCCACTTAAGACTCAGTTGTTTCAATGCACCTTACCCTCATCAAGGTGAGGATATTATTTCGCTATTTTCTGCGATCCTCTCCCATCCATCTCTCTCCAGCTCAAACTCCTCCCATATCAAAAATTCTTTGTTCTGTATGTACTCCACTTCACACAAAAGCTAAAGGCCATGAGCTAGGTTCCCTGTCTCCTAATTAAAGTCTTACAACTGTTACCAACCATTTTTCAAGATAAAACTGTTTCCCTCCTTCGCTTTGGATAAAAGTTTAAAAAAAAATTGTAATCATTCAACAGACTTGCACTCTAATGATCTTAGTCTGTAAAAAGTGAAAGAGGCTTAAATTAATTCAGATACCTGTTTGCAGATACAGATCTCCATTTGTTCTGATAATCCAGGCAGTGTCATCACTTAAAGCTACAAATACAGCCTGCGGTAAAGCCTCATACCAGTGGCGTTTTCCTTTTATAGTTACTTTTCCACAGGCATATGCCTTGTTAGTTTTCTGTTCAATCTTCCAGAGAAGAGCACCTATATGAGGAGTTGAGAGAACGTAGCATCACTTAGCAATCACTGTAACAGACAGTTGACCTAACCAAAAGTAACGCAAGGGAAAAGAGCCATAACAGTAGAATTTAAAAAAAAAAATGGAAGTTTTAAAAACAAACATTTATTTTGCTTATATATATTTTTAAAAGGCAAGAACAGTGGCCAGCTTCTCTAGGAATTTCTGAAATGCATTTACCATCAGAGTATATTTAGTTTTAAATACTTTTTAGTTACGTAAAATGAAAAGAAACAAAAAAAGAGTCCCGGGGCCAAACGAGCCAGCTATTAAGAGACTGAAGTTCACGGTTTTCCTCCGTTACAGCTTCTCCTTGGCACATCTACGCATTCATGAAGTATGTAGCAATTGCTTTCACGACCACCATAGTTACAGATTTGAAAAAGGCACAGAAAGGAATATGAGATAATTGTAATACTTCCACATTCTACAAACAGTAGTAGTATTAGTAAGCTAAAAAATAATTTTTATGGACCAGTCATGAGTGAAAAACACCTGACCAGACAAAGTTCCACACAGCAGCGGGCAGTGCTATCACCTGCTTGCTACTTAGCACATCACAAGCAGAGAGAACTCAGAAATGCAACTGCACAAATCCTTCTTGAGAACTTTTTTCCCCTGTTCCAGGTAGCAAAGGTAGCTCAGAAAAAGACAACCGAATGGAACTCCAAACTTAACGGATGACTTGTATCCATGCTGGTTTGTACCAACATACTGATACAATATTGGTACAATATTTTGCAATACATTGGCAGCTTAACTGCCTTTGAACAATTCCATAAAGTCGTTTATTTGATTCCATTTTGATCTTTTCGGTTAACGTACTCTTGTGTTCACACATCCACAGGAAGCTGTGGATGCTATAAGTCAATATGGGTTCAAGGAGAAATCTGTTAACTTCACAGAATTGAGGGTACTAAACGCAGAGACATTTAGTATCACAGCCATCAACAACTGCGGTCAGAATACTAAGGGCAAATGTCATATATGCTACCCTAAATCCTTTTGACCACTGTTAAAGACAGGATACTGAGCTGAATGAATCTCTTACCTGACCTAATATAGCTACTCTTATATTTTTGTCTCTAACAAGGTTCAGCTGCAGATCAAATGTAACACCTTTCTTCTTAAAATAGACAGCAAATCCCTTCGCAGAGAGGAATGAAGACTGACAGGTGCTTTGAGAGATGACGGGGGAAGAGAAGTATTGGCAAAATAGGAGAGTGGGTTTAAAAAACATATATCTGAGAAACTTATATTTTCACACCACTCCTGGAGCAATCTGGAAGGCCAAAAGTGATGTAAGATCATATCCGAAACCTGTTCATCTTTAATCCAACATAACCTTCATTCTCAACCATCCAGAATAAAGTCATAAGCAAATGTGCCAATAATTAAATCTTTTGTTTTCTTGAGTTTAAAAAACACAATTGCATATTTACATCAAAAAGAATTTTAAGTTAGGGAATCATAAATAGTTTTATATTTTAAAAAAACCACAAGGACCTCTTGACTTATTAACTTGATTTATGAACTGCTACTTCTGTAGTTCACCTTAATCAGGCAGCTGTATGTTGAAAACTTCAAGAGGCAATAACATGAACTTGTTAGAAGATAACTACTTAAACTAGAACATGGTACGCCAATGTACTGAAGATGCTCATCATCCAAGTTTTTGGGTTTTTTTACTACTTTTACATGAAACAAGTCCCTAAGAAACAAGAATCAAGCTTCTAGAAGTGCTGCATCAAAATAGCCAGTAAACCATACATACAAAAATTACAGATATAGTACAGTGCTTATGTAACGGTGCTTATTACTCTCAGAAAGGGGACAAGTTTACCCAATAATAGCTACTACCAGGGAAAAAAAAAAAGGCAAAGAAAATGCCTAACTCTAGGAAAGTTCTGTATTTACATGAGGTTAGAGTGAAATAAAAGCCAGCCAACCTGAGGGGGAAACCGCCACCTGCTGGACACCATCTTCAAACTTCTGCCACCACAATCCAGCACCTGGAAGAGCACTGCAGTACAGGCTGCCTCTGTAGTCCAGGCACCAAATATACTTTTCTGAGACAACGAGGCTCAATATGCCATAACCAGGGCCAGAGTATCCCATCCAGCTCTCTGCAAACTAAAAACTGTAGAGTCAGAACAGCGTCAGGCATCTTCAAACTGCACAAGAAAACAGCAACATATAAACTAGAGCAACTGGCATATTATCATTAAAAAAGCTAAACAAAGTTCTTATGCAGTTCAATGAATGAATGAATGATTGCCTTGTGTAAAATAAAACCATCTGTCAGTGGTCTCTGAGATAGCATACTGCAAGCTCCAAGACTGCTAGAACAAAAGTTTTGGCAAAAAAGAAAACTCCATACTGTCACCTACCTCCAAAAAGTGGCAGAACTTCTCTTATTAATTGAAGAACACGTACTTAAAATAAATGGCAGCTACAAAAAAGGAATGTGCAAAAACGTCCACTATCTACTTAGTCCAGGAAGCTATTTATTGGCTATTAAACAATTAGCAAAGGGAATAAGATACTTGATTTGGAATATAGTAGCACATAGAGACTACTGGTGAAGAAACAGCTAAATGTCCAACTTTGATTCTCCTCGTATGGTACAGAAGCCAAATATTGTAGGAATTTTGTTCACAGACCGCTACTCTGAATTTTCATAGGCTGCATTAGGTGAACCCAAGCGCTGCATATATAACGTATAACGTATGCATCTGAACAGCTGGTGTGCTCCTCTAAACATTCTGCAGTATGAGAACAGAATTTCATAGCCTAAAACTAAAAGCCTTCTATACTTTGGGCTACGCTTATTCTTTCCGAATAGGACACTACCAACTCAAATCTTAACCTTTTATCTACACATATTTCGGTTACTCTCAATATAAGGCTGTTGCAGATTTTAAAAAGAAACAAAAAATCCCCCAAAACAACAGATTATTTCCTTCTAAAAAAAACTCTGCTGAAACTCCTAGTGATTTCAGCAATTCTGCAGTGTTTACAATTAATCTTAGTATTTATTTCCAGTAGTCTAGATGAGAATTAATTTCTGGTAATTTTCTGCCAAAGGAAAAAAAAAAAAAACCAATGAAGGAAAGTGGGATCGCAGAAAGAACTCCAACATTTTAAATAGTACTCACTGCTGTCTAGGACACAAATAAGGACTAATCCTTATTCTGAGTATTTAACAGGTGAAGCAATCCTTCTCCAGAGGCTGGCCATGCAGGATGATGAGCATTAATTCTTATTGTAGTCAGTGGAAGTTGGTAGCAGTATCTTGCAGGATTTAGGCTACTGGAGACCCAAACAAGGAGGAACCTTCGAGCTGACTTTGTTTTGCTTTTTACTCTTTAATGGACGGGTTTATGACAGCCTTTTCATTGAGCTGTGAATTGTAATAATACTTACTCTGAACGGGCATTACAGCCGCTACACCTTCTTTATATTGAAAACACACAACAATTTTGAAGTCTGATACATGACATTTCATAACAGTTGTGGCACATATTGCTGTTTTGACTTTGTTTTGCTTGTTCAATCAAATAAGAAGAAAACTGCCTTCCTAAAGAACAGTAATTACACAAATGTTTCTTTTGAAATGCTGAGATGTTAAATATTTATAAGTAAATTGAAAAGATATACCTGATCAGACTTTAGCAGCACCATCTCATCTAGGCTTATTCTAGCCACATCCTGAGCAGCAAGCCCAGCACCAACTTCTGGCATGCTAGTCTCCGAGGATGAATACGGTATTCCATGTCCATAAATATCCTCTTCATCACTTGAGGCAGATTTCTCAGTCTTACTTTCATGAGTGTTTGCTACCCATTCAGCAGTGCTAGTACTAGATTTAGCTTTGATTGCACTTTCAAAATTCCATCCAGAAATGGAAGTGTTCTCTGAAGAAACCTCCTTAGAGGCATCAAACTGAAGAACAGAAGGATCAGACAGAGAACTGTTTATTAGAGAGCGTTGCTGTCGGTCTTTCCTACCAGCTCCATCACTTTCCTTCAGTATCAGTGATGTCTGAACACGAGGTATACTGTTGCACTCCAAAAACATTTGGTCTGAAAGGTCTGGCTCTTCAAAACATTTTTCGGCATCCTGCAGCTTTGTTTTATCTAGAGTTTCATCTGTTTCACACAATGCAGTAAACGCCTGCTGTTCTTCTTGGCTTAGCCTTCCAGGGCAGCATTCACCGTTTGCAGAAAGCACACTAGGATTATATTCGATATCAACACTGCTTGCCAAGTCTTCTGTGAGGATTAGAGGAGAGATAGATGTCAGAGTATCTGTAATAGCCAGTGTACCCATACCACTGTCACTACTTGGAAGTTTCTGTAAATCAACTATATCTCCATTTTCTTCGTGAATCAGCACAGTAGTAGACTCAGGTGACTGTAAGACACTGAAAGTTTCTGAACCATTATCTTCTTGCAGGATCGTATGGGACTCCACACTGAACATGCTTTCCTGATCTGGAGACCCGGTACTCAAATGATCAATGCTCCCACTCATTAGGCTAGAAGTCATGGAAAATGAATCTGCATTCACTGAATGTGGACTGTCACCAGAAAGCTGACGCTCATAACTTGGTGTACCTTCCAGAGAGCTGTGGTTTTTCTTGGTCCCACTTTCTGTTCTCACAAAAAAAAGGGGGAGAAATGTTATTAATAAAAATCTATGAAGTATCAGTACAAAATACGAAACTCAAATATTTCACCATGAAAGAGCGGAGTTAAATGTAATGTTGACATACTGAATTTTATCACTTCACCACTAAATGGGGCATACAAAGGCCAATAAGTCTTAATCGCAAAGCATTTTAAAGCTATAACACCAATACAGTAAGTTAGAACGATTAAGCACCTTTATTATTTTAATAAACTAAAAAGCCTGGCTAAGGAATACGTTGTCAAATATTTTATACAAGAGAGAGATTAAACAATTCCAACATAAAACTGGAAGTATAATCCATTGCGCATCACCATCAACCCATACTTCATCTAGAACACTAAACATGTTTACGTAAAACAAAACAAATCTAAAGGAACAAAACAAACACGTCTAACAAGAAAAAAGCAATCAATTTATCACTCTCAAAACAGGCTTTCATCTTAAACACCAAACCCAAAGTTACTCCAATAGATTTCACACGATAATACAACATAAAGCTTTTCAAACAGTCTCTTCTGTGTAACGTATCAGAAGTCACACATTCTAATAATTAGCAGTGGCATGGAAGTTCTGTTAGATTTACCTTGTTTCTTCTTCTTTTTCTTTTTCACTTTAATTGGCTTTACAATGAGTTCTTGATCAAAATCTTCAGAGCTGATGACGCTGAACCGTTGCGAAGAAGGTTGACTCTCTCTCTGAGCTTCTGAAAGTTGGTCTGCACATATCATAAAACTAGAGCCACTGTCCACAGAATTTACTGAACTGCTCCTGCTTCTTGATTCACTTGCTACAGAGCAGCCCCTTTTTCTTGTTTCATTGCTTAAGTCTCCCACTCTATCAAAACTTTTCTCCGATAGCACTGGAGTTTCGAGATCATCTTTCGCTAAAGAATAAGAGTCATTTTTATCAGCAATAACTGAAGGGGAAGTAACCATTTTTTTATCTGTTTCCATTGAAAGGCCAGATGATACAGATGCAACTACTGATAATGGGGTCAGCAATTTAGGATTCGTATCTGTTAAAGGACTCAGCAATTTTGAATTCGCATCTGAAACTGACCAAAAGAAAAATAAAAGTATAAATACTAGGGTGAGAAGTGAGTAGGAACATAATTCTTGGAGAGCGTTGAAAGAAAAGAAGTTTCATCCAATGGAAAAATAGTCTATCTAAACTTGCAACGTTTAACACAGATATTCTATTGTAATTTCATGTAAGTGGAACTATATGAAGTCATTTTAGTATACTCAAACCCCCAAAACCTGTATCAAACCTCTATTAGTAACACTCTGAATTTACGTTTATGTATGAGAATGGTGCAAGTCTTTAGCTTGGAAGACTCAACTGTGTCATAGACTGAAGTATCCTGTATCTTCAACTTCTTCATCCAAACATTCAGTATGTTGCCAAAACAAGCAAAATTTGCCAGGTAAGCCACTGTGGTAATTCATGGAAAAATATACTTCAAGAAGATTCCTCTCAACCTACACTCACAAGTTAAGGTTAGAGCAATAAACAGCCCTTAGAAGCCTGTGAGCAAAGAACAGCTTAAATAACTAAAGCTATCCCTGATATAGTTCCTTTCAACACAAAACGAGAAGTCTAAGGCTTCTTTTTACCCGCCGATTTCCCCTGAAACGAAGGTGGTGACTTGTGGCACAGAACCAACCTACTCAGGTATCTCCACCTCAGACAACTGAGACGGGTCACAAAGAGAGAACCATGATCATGAAGACAGATTTCTTCAGCGCCATGTTTTAGAACAAGGGCTAGACTGCACAGATCAGAGATGCCAGACTAGGATACTGCTGATCCACTCTCAAAAAGAGGGAACTATAATTGATTTCTTAATGCCCCCACTCTTGCTGCAGCCAAAACAGAGGCTTAGAAACCAGAGCTGTAAATATAAACTTTAGAAATAGTTAAGTCAACAGAAGCTGATAGGTTTTTGTTAGCAACTAGAATGATTTTATAGATTAAAAAAAAAAAAAAAAAGAAAAGCTAGATACCATGTTCCATGAGGCACATACTGAAGTTTGCTAATCTATACAAACCTATTGACGACAGTCCTTCAGGTCTACTTGAAATTCTTATTATGTCTCTATCTCCCTTTAAGAGAAAAATCTCATTGTTGGTACAGGACACAGACACAATATCACCATATCCTTCCAAGCCACCAATCAAAGCCTATGAAGAAGCAACAGAAAGAATTAATTGGCATCAGATCAATATACTGCTTGGGAAAGATGAGGCTCTTCTTAGCAAGTATTCACTGTTTACTGGAATTTAATCAACATATATAGCTACAGAATAAGGATTTTATCTTATCAAAAAGGAAGAAAATTGAAAAGAGAAACAGGAGAGCACCTTTTAATTCTGATTTTATACTAATTTTCATTCTGTGTAATGTCAGGGATCTATTCGTTTTCTCTGTCCAAACTAGAAGCAGCCAGTCACTTCACTCTAACGATAAGCAATTTGGTGAGGAAAAAGAACTGCTGTACAGATGTTTGATATAACTTAGACCAAAAAAAGCTAACAGCTTCCTCTGTACCAAACAAAATGGAATACTTGTCTTTTTGGCACAGACACCAAAAACAGTAGAAGGAAAGGAAGAAATAGTTCCAGACATGTTTTGAAGGTCTAAATCATCTTTTGTCATGCATTACTAGATGTTAGGTTTATATATGCTTTGCTACACATCCAGAATGTATTATGATGCACCTGGATTGAAAGCTCTACATATATTTAATTTTTATACTTAATATATAAACCTTGTCTATGAGTATATCCATGCAACTACGACTTGAAGAAGGAGAGATGAAGGTTTGCTTTGTTAACTTTGTTTTTTAAACATGAATTTGAATCATGTAAACGTAATGAATAACCCAAGGAGAGTCTCACAGGTTAATAACAGCATGACCAAAAACCTTTAAGAAAAAAACAGGCACCCACAAGATTTATCTACCTGGTTCACAGTGTCTAATAAGTAGATGCTATATTCATTCCAGGTCAGCACCCATCCTTCTCGGAAAAAGCAGGAAACAAGCCCAAGGTGCTTCTCCGGGGAGCTACAACTTCCTCTGTCAGATGGCTCCAAACGAGGGTACAGTTCAAAAGTTTTTATTCCTCCAGCAAATATATCTTTCAATATGAATGTGGCCTGAACAGTTCCATGAATATCTGACTTCCAGAGACGGAGCCCAGGTCTGGCAGCAAATAGCGTCAGGTCACTCTGTTTACAAAGGCCAGGTATAAAACACGCTCCAAATTTGCCAGTGCTAGAATGTGTTTTAAAAAAAAAAAGTTTTAAAAAAAGCTATATACGTAACTTAGAAACAATTTTTAAAACCAATGACACAAGTTTACAACTGCAAGTTGGCAAAAAATAGAGTTTTGTTCTTCAATTAAAGTATTAAGTCAACTGTCTGAAGTACCAATTTGGTTACAATAAGATAAGAACAGTACTTCCAAATAACAAGATTTTTCCCTGAGCTTTAGGTGTCAGATAGTACATCTGCTAGACAAGTTAAGGGACTCCTCCTAATATGCCCCATAGCCTTGACAGTACTCTTTGTCCAACCCAGAAAAATCCTATTATGCAGTTACCTTTCTCCTAGAAGTAAGAAAAAACAAGCAAAACACTACCCAGTTAATCCTAAGAAACTGACAACCCCCATCTGCAAGGGGCAAGAAACAAGTCTCAAGTGTTAACATCCTCATCCCTTGTACACAGGCCATTACCATCACCTCAAAAAGACTTGTTGTACACAAATGAGGTAGTCCTTGCTATTCCTCTTACTATTCGTGTGCCTAAAACACATACATTATAAGCCTTCTTTCAAGAGTCAACTTCCTCTACTTCCATATATAGCCAGTCACACTGTCGTTCTAAGACTGAGCGGCCTTTTCCTTCATATCCAAGAGCGATTACACAATAAAAGATGCCAGAAGGTCATACAAGAAGTTTGTAGCCTTCAGGTCAACTTTTAAGTGCTTGCTATATATTTTTCCTTTTAATTCATCTCCATATAGAAGAAAAATTAAGATGTTGACTTGCTTTTGGCATTAGATAATGCATCACCTATCAGGAGCACCTGCTTATAACACTTCCTCGTATCAAGCCATGGTAAACCATGAGGGACTGCAGTGGAAGTTCAAGAACTGCGTCAGTTTAAACAAGGCGAAAAATATCTTCAGCGTTTTTGCATAACAGTCTCCTGAAAATATGACTGTAATATATTTCCAATCATAAACTTTCTAAGTAGAACGAATCATCATCTCAATGTTTTGAGTGCCAATAGCCACCGTGACTAAAGTTTTATAAGCAGACTGCTGGGTTGTATTAATTGTACTGCTTAGATCACTCTTTCTGTAATCCACTCTGAAAAGCTAGAATTAACAGATGTGCCTGTATCAAGATTTTGTGAGGGTTACTTTTTTCTGGGCTGTGTTCCAACTTGCTTGACAGATTTCTCTTCTGTGTAAAAAAGTAGAGTTCGTTGTAAAGTAGAGACAAGGAGCACTTTCTGGTTGTAATCCAACTGGACAATTGAAGATGGCTCTTCCAATACAAGGCTGGAGTTGCAAATACCCTTTTAAAGATATACGAAATTAATAAGAGTTAATCTTTTAAAAGTTAAAATACATGGTAATAACTAAAACTTCAGAGAAATTAATATGTCCAAGAAGGAAGGAAAAAAAAGTTTTTGAACTACTTCTCCACGAAGTTAAATTAACAGATCTGGAATTCCTTTATGCAGACCACATGGGAATTAGACTGTGTACTGGCAGCGCCACACTGCGAAATTCAACTTCTCTAGGAATACTAGCTAGCCTGTTTGCCTTGAACTCAATAGAAACTCTAAAGGAAGAAAATAAGCATTTAGGGTTTCCCTTATCTCCACTGCCAGGCCACAGAGCACCAAGATAATTCTTACATTTGGTAGCATTAAATCCTTCTATGTCAAACCAGATGAGAGACTGTCATAGTCAAGTCAAGGATGACTGCTGGTTCCACTTTTCTCCCATGTACAAATTCAAGTTAGCATTTACTCTGTAAATGTCCCAGGGTCAGAATTAATGAAGAAACTTTTAGAAAAATTCTACTTTTTAGTAACATGTTAGAGTCAGCCAGTATAACCCAATTATATTTTCATTCTACATTCTAGACTGACACGCTGAACAGTTCCCAAAAAAAACACTTCACTACAGCAAAGCAGCAACCTTGCATCGTTCAAGTACGCCCTTTCCAAATGTGCAAGAAAAAGTATTAGGTGAAATCTAAAGTTGTGGGTAGCTATTTCAGCTAGAAAAGTGGTAAAACGGGGAGGAGAACTGCATTTTTTTTTTTTTTTGGTAAGGCTGTTGTGAAGAACCCCCAATGGTCCTCTTGCAGTGTGTAGCCATGTATATACATATCAATAGAACAAACCAGCTAAACACATGATACTGAACGTTTAACTATCTGCTAAATATTTAAATACACACACATTCTTTCAGAAAATCTTAAGCGGGAATAAAGGTCTCTAAAACAAATACTTACCTGGTCTAGGTCTAAGGCAGAGTAGACGATTCTCCCTCTGTCATCTCCAGAGAATAATTTCATTCCATTGGGACTCCAAGCTAAAGCTGTAATGCTACTTTTGTGGATACCAGCAACATCAAATCTCCGAAGCTGTGAAACAATACCAAAGCAATTCAAGAGCGAAGGGGAGATTCAGTGACTCAGAATGATAAATTAGCAGTCAAGTACAAAAATGAAGTATATTTAAAAAAAAAAATACTAAATACTCTGCCAGTTATTACAAATTTACAATTTAGTAATTTCTCAGAAGCATTTTTGATTAAATTCATCTTTTGTAATGAAAAACATGCTTTAAGATTAATGCTTTCATAAGCCTAATATACAAAGTCTAAAACGTATTTACAGATACTTCATCAGGAGAAATTCTCTGGTTTTCACTATTATGAAGAACCACCTAATAATCTAGTAGGATTCACCCTACCCAGCCTCACAGATGTTTAACCAAATGTGCAGATTTACCTGTTTGTTTCTTCCAGGCAATGAAGACACAAGCTGAAAAACTGCAACTCGACCTGAGGCTGTACCAACAGCAACAAGATCATCAAAACAACTCAGTAGCTTTACAAAAGTAATAGATTCACACTTCCCCTGTTGGAACAAATGACATACAAAACTTGCTGAGTTATGAGACAGAAAACAGTTGCAAATAGGCATTCAATTCTGAGTGACTGAGCACTGTTAAAAAATTTCATTAGAAGTTAATATTTACCTCAAAATTATATTTTTTCATCTGGTTTAAATGTCTGCAGTAGAGATAAAGCATTCCAATGCTGCTCCCCACTGCAATGTAGTCCCCATTGGTATCAAGTGCTGTGAGGTACACCACTATAGATCGGAAGCCTTTTTGGACCTTTGTAGGAATGGCATTGAGAAGATAATATAAGGGACAAAACTCCTTAAATACAACTGGTGAAGCCACCGATGCCATAGCAAGCACTGGCATCAACACTTTTAAGGCTGAAATAAACACATCTACTTCACCACATAAGGAAATCTGAAAGACAAAACCAAAAGTTCATTAACTTCTTTGAAGAGAGCAAATGGTTAACAGAATAGCTACCGTTTAGCAAGTAAGTATGCAGAAATTGTCATTTTTTGTTCATTACGAAGAAAAAACAACTTAAACTCTTCTAGAGAACGTAAGTTGTCCTGCAAATAAGAGCAAGATTATTTCTTAGGTTCAGTCACATTTAAAAGCAGATGGTAATCACTAAACATGGGATAAGATTTTTTTTCTTGCAGTTGGGAGCTTTTCTAAGTTGAGTTCAAACACATTATTTTTTTCTCATTTAGCTCTTGAAGGAACTGTACGGCCACTCCTGGCACTAAACAATCTGCACAGTCCATTTCTGCATCTGTCTGCAAACTCTAGCCTCAGTCCTTCCAGTGCTGAATCTTCAGTTTACATCAAGAGCAGTACAAGCATGGGATATTCACTGTTTCAGACGGCACAATAAGATCAAAGCATCAAATTAGTATATACGCTCAAATCCTTAACTCTCACTCTGCCCCAAGGAAAATGTGACTGGAAAACAGTACAGTTAGACCTCTACTAGGTAATCAGATAGTAAAAATAGCATGAGAAGGAGGGGAAACATAAAAATGAGAGAATTCCCAGTGACAGACACACAAAGATATCCATATAGCAATTTAATACTAAAGATAGCAGGCAAACAGTAAAAGAAACAGATGTTAAAAAAAAAAAAAGCAGCACTGAATGCCTGTGTTTCCTGTCATGGTCAAGTGAATAACTTCATGTTGATGAGTGACACTGTATGCACACATATGGGTAAATTTTGGTATCTTCCTAAGAAAAAGGGAAACGGGTTGTATTTGCCCTCTTCTAGAAAAAAAATAGCTGGAGTTCATTGTAGTAATAATCTACTGAGAGTTTCAGAAAAACATGATATGATCATGAAGCATATAAAATTTTAAAAATATTAATTAAAAATTACTTTTCTCATCAGAGAGTGACAACCTTGACAGCAATATTTTGCAGCAGTATCTATTCTCCTCATGGATGACTTTAGATCATAGAAAAGAAAAGAAACCTCCCCTTCCTGAATTTTAACAGAACGGTTTAGCATCTCCCAGAAACAGCTGCAGTTTTCTGAAACAAGGATTCTGGACTTCTGAAAGGAATAAAGTTTTCTATGCTTGTTCAGGTGTGTAACAGTGAAGGTTTTGTTAAGCTTCAGCCAGAGTTATAACTTACTTAGAGAAAGAAAAACCAGAAATATACCAAATTTAGTTGGGAACACTTTTAAACATTCAAAATTATTTTGTAAAGTATTCCTACTGTAATTTGTGTGATATGCCCTATCGTGCCTACTTAGCATTTCTCCAAGAATGGAAAACAGTACCGGTTTGGCAGCTTCACAAATCGCTTATGGTGGTATCGCAACTAAATTTATATTTATATATATTTGTATATATGCACACACAGACATACATACGCACACACAAGTTTAATATCTCCATTACTGTGAAAGGCTCCGGTGCTTCAATTTTAAAATTGCTGTTTCACTCATTGTACAAGAGGATTCAGCACGCTGGCTTTGGGCCCTGCAACACTTGCTGTCAACATACAATTCCAATAAATCCAAAGGGATTACTTGCATGATACTACCCATTCAAGCCCATGTTAGACAAGACAGCTAAAATACGGATTCATATTTTAGCTGTGTTAAAAAAACAGCCAGTGAAGAAGTTGATAGCAGTTACTAAATGATCTTAATTGTTGTGATAAATTTTACTGCTTGCTAGAGCTTAGACAGATGAATACTACTCTCCTCCAGTGTTTATCAGCTGTCAGGGCACCTATTTCATAGAAATGCTATTAGGGTTAGCTGATTAATGTGCCCCTTGAACGAGGCTCACTAATCGTTCATCATCATCATCATCATGATTCATTCGTTCTTTGAACAACGAGTTCCTAAAAGAGTTGTTTACTGAGTCACTAAATAATCTAAGTACTTTACCTTTCCTTTACAATATTTGCACACACTATCTCTTCCCTATCCTGCATTTTAGGACTCCTGTCCTCTCCTTTAGCATTTATCACCTTCTATCTGCAATCAATTAAATTTTAAAATAAACAAACAAACTAACAACAAAAACAAATGACTGCTGAAGTCTCTTGTTTGCTGTTCTAAACATGCTGCTTTGCCAGTTCAATAATTCTACTGGCTGCTGATCTTCTCTTACTCAAATACGCTCTTTGTCCTAAGTCTCATGCATACAAGTCTTCCTCTGTCTAGGTCTCAACTGCTAGCACTCCCCAGCTACTGCCTCATGAATTTCACGTATTTTAACTCTCCTTTGTCACTCCTACAATTCACATCTATCACCATCCCAAGCTGCTCTCATAGTTGGCATCATCTCACATTTCCCAGTTGTCAAAGATCTTGCAGTCCTCAAAATCCATTCTCAGTCTTCGCTTCCACCTCTCCTCACAGCTCAACTACAACTATTGAAAGCATAATGATTCATTATAAACTATGGAATTATGAAAAACTATTACCAGAAAAAGACTACTCTTCTTTCCTGTACAACAACTAGATCCACAACCTGACGCATTTTTTTTAAGTCTACACTTAATTAACATCAAAATTTTCCTGATGACCTTGGGTTTTTTTCCATAGATAACACTAGAGGAATTATTGCTCATCATATAATAAATTAAAAAACAACTGCTGTCAGATTAGGGTCCTCCTAATTTATATACAACCCTATTTAGATCTTCTCTGGTGGCAAAGTTTTAGAAAAAAAGATTAATTTCAATTTTTATAATCCATTCAACCTGTACAATCAAAAATGCATTCATAAACTAAAATTTCTTGTTGCCACACAAATCAGTTTCATTTTGGGTTTTTCATTTGCGCTTTTCGTGTGAAAACATGTAACTGAAAGCTCAAATCATCACTTACTCAAAGTATTGCTAATGAAGTCATTTTATCTGAGCAAAATAAATGTATAAAGGACTAAAGAATTACAGCATGGCCTTTATTTTCAGAGAGTCTGTACACACACAATGATTCTCTGCTGCTTTTGAGTCCTGAGTCTTCAACATCTCCCTAATCACATTTGTATATGGTATGTGGTCTCTTTTTCTTCTTTAATGGTTTCAGGATTATTTTATCTGTTTTTCCAACCTCATTAATCAAAGGCAAACGGTGGATATAATCTATCTTCTCAGACAGATTTTGGAACTGGACCTGCACTTTCACTGGCTCAGCAGTGGTTATTCTGAAGGACGTAGAAGCCATACAGGGCAAATCAGATTGTGCTAATCAGCTCTCCTGCACTGGAAATCAAGTAGAGCAAAATATCTTATGCTACATGGAAAAAAAAAAAAAATCACTGTCCTTTTCAACCCACATGGATCACAATGAGCTTTTAGGTAAGCAAAAAATCTTTTTCTTTTCTCTGGTTTCAGAAACAGCAATAGGGCTTAAGTGTGGCTACCAAAGACAACTAATATGAAAGATAATCTTGTGGTTAAACAAGTACTTAGTGGATAAAGATTCAGTTTCAGGGCATGCCCACAGATTTACTTATATAAGGCTGAAGTTGTCATTGCATTTCTTTGAGCCCAGGCCTCCTCTCTGTACAAGAGGAACAACAGTTCTGTTTTTTTACTCCTTTGACACACCAAATTAATTTTAAGCGCTTCAGAGTACAGACAAACTCATATGCATAACCTCCGTTTAACACAACGGTCTCTCATCTCAGTCGGAGCCTGTAAACTAAGAAATAAGCAGTTATATTTTCTGATACATCCCATGTTTTTAGCCACCAGACTGCCACATCTGTTAGCAGTGTTTTAGGCACAGGGGCACAATTTTAGGCCTCTTGCCTGCTTTTGACCAGATCTGAAGGAACAGCAAGACAGCTGAGACATTTCTCCAAAGTTTTTCATGTAAAACAACAGCCAAGTAGAGGGGAGAACAAAAATTAGCACCTTACTGAAACAAAGGCAGGCAAAACTCTGCTTTTACACACCTTGTTCGGGAACAGGTGGACAACCAGTTAGCACACAGGTAGAGACTACTCAATTAACACACACATCGCTCGAGACTAGTCATAAAACGTTTTATTTCTGGCTCAAGGGAGTTTCTAGAAAGAACTCTCAGATTAGGGGCTGAAAGAGAGAATCTGGTGTCACTGCACAGGCAACTCTGTAAAGGAAGAGGAACATGGGAACACAGGAAACTAGGCTTTGCTGGCTCTGTTGATTTCAGAGTACCTAGTTCCTCTACAAAAACCTTCACCCCTAAGAGGCATTTCTTTATTCTGGCAGAGGCTTCAAAGGGTTCATCTCAACAGCGCTGCACTCCAGCACTCCGCGGGTTGTAACTACTCAAAGGCAAACAGGAATACACCAGGGGACCGCAGGACAGGCAGCCTACCACGCTTGCTCTCCTGGAAGCGCCTTGGGCTTCGCTTCAGCACACGGCTCACGGGGGAGGCGATCCCCCAGCCCTCAGACAGGTTCACATCCAGCGCGCTGCCGGCGGCCAGCGGCCAAGCAGATTTCTCCTAGGGCAGTCCCCAAAAAGCAAAGGTTTTCCATTACTCGGAGGCTGAAAACTAAGATTTTTAGCCTTACTCTTCTCTTCACGTTCGGTCATCTTAAACCAGCACCCGGGCACTACCGGTTTTTAACGTGCCAGCCCTTTGATACAACCCACGTCACAGAAAACGTGGAGTTTCACCTCAGAAATAAGCGACTAAACCCACGGAGTCCCCAGCGCGGGCGAGCCCGTTAACCGCGGCCGCTCCGGCGCCTCTCGCCCCCTTCCCCCCTCCCCACCAACGCTCCTGCCCCGCAACGGCCGCGGCCGCCGTGTGAAACGGGCCAGGCGGGCTCCGAAACCCCCCGCCGCCGCTCGCCCTCACCCGCGACGGGGGCCCCGCACAGCGGCTGG